TCAGTTAAAAATAGGAGAGGAGAGTTATTAAATGGAGAGTTAGAGGTATTGGGAAGATGGAAGGAATATTTTGAGGAAATTGTTAAATGTTGATGAAGATAGGGAAGCTGTGATTTCGTGTATAGGGCAAGGAGGAATAACATCTTGTAGGAGTGAGGAAGAGCCAGTTGTGAGTGTGGGGGAAGTTCGTGAGGCAGTAGGTAAAATGAAAGGGGGTAAGGCAGCCGGGATTGATGGGATAAAGATAGAAATGTTAAAAGCAGGTGGGGATATAGTTTTGGAGTGGTTGGTGCAATTATTTAATAAATGTATGGAAGAGGGTAAGGTACCTAGGGATTGGCAGAGAGCATGCATAGTTCCTTTGTATAAAGGCAAAGGGGATAAAAGAGAGTGCAAAAATTATAGGGGGATAAGTCTGTTGAGTGTACCTGGTAAAGTGTATGGTAGAGTTATAATTGAAAGAATTAAGAGTAAGACGGAGAATAGGATAGCAGATGAACAAGGAGGCTTTAGGAAAGGTAGGGGGTGTGTGGACCAGGTGTTTACAGTGAAACATATAAGTGAACAGTATTTGGATAAGGCCTAAAGAGGTGTTTGTGGCATTTATGGATTTGGAAAAGGCGTATGACAGGGTGGATAGGGGGGCAATGTGGCAGATGTTGCAAGTGTATGGTGTAGGAGGTAGGTTACTGAAAGCAGTGAAGAGTTTTTACGAGGATAGTGAGGACTCAAGTTAGAGTATGTAGGAAAGAGGGAAATTTTTTTCCCAGTAAAAGTAGGCCTTAGACAAGGATGTGTGATGTCACCGTGGTTGTTTAATATATTTATAGATGGGGTTGTAAGAGAAGTAAATGCGAGGGTCTTGGCAAGAGGCGCGTGGAGTTAAAAGATAAAGAATCACACACAAAGTGGGAGTTGTCACAGCTGCTCTTTGCTGATGACACTGTGCTCTTGGGAGATTCTGAAGAGAAGTTGCAGAGATTGGTGGATGAATTTGGTAGGGTGTGCAAAAGAAGGAAATTAAAGGTGAATACAGGAAAGAGTAAGGTTATGAGGATAACAAAAAGATTAGGTGATGAAAGATTGAATATCAGATTGGAGGGAGAGAGTATGGAGGAGGTGAACGTATTCAGATATTTGGGAGTGGACGTGTCAGCGGATGGGTCTATGAAAGATGAGGTGAATCATAGAATTGATGAGGGAAAAAAGAGTGAGTGGTGCACTTAGGAGTCTGTGGAGACAAAGAACTTTGTCCTTGGAGGCAAAGAGGGGAATGTATGAGAGTATAGTTTTACCAACGCTCTTATATGGTGTGTGAAGCGTGGGTGATGAATGTTGCAGCGAGGAGAAGGCTGGAGGCAGTGGAGATGTCATGTCTGAGGGCAATGTGTGGTGTGAATATAATGCAGAGAATTCGTAGTTTGGAAGTTAGGAGGAGGTGCGGGATTACCAAAACTGTTGTCCAGAGGGCTGAGGAAGGGTTGTTGAGGTGGTTCGGACATGTAGAGAGAATGGAGCGAAACAGAATGACTTCAAGAGTGTATCAGTCTGTAGTGGAAGGAAGGCGGGGTAGGGGTCGGCCTAGGAAGGGTTGGAGGGAGGGGGTAAAGGAGGTTTTGTGTGCGAGGGGCTTGGACTTCCAGCAGGCATGCGTGAGCGTGTTTGATAGGAGTGAATGGAGACAAATGGTTTTTAATACTTGACGTGCTGTTGGAGTGTGAGCAAAGTAACATTTATGAAGGGATTCAGGGAAACCGGCAGGCCGGACTTGAGTCCTGGAGATGGGAAGTACAGTGCCTGCACTCTGAAGGAGGGGTGTTTAATGTTGCAGTTTAAAAACTGTATGTAAAGCACCCTTCTGGCAAGACAGTGATGGAGTGAATGATGGTGAAAGTTTTTCTTTTTCGGGCCACCCGGGCCTTGGTGGGAATCGGCCGGTGTGAATAATATAATATAATATAATATATATATATATATATATATATATATATATATTTATATATATATATATATATTTATATATATATAGTGTTGGACAAGTTGAAAAAAATTAAATATACAAGGTATGATGTAGCACGTAATGAAAGTAGTTTGTTAGATTATGTATTGGTGGATAAAAGGTTGATGGGTAGGCTCCAGGATGTACATGTTTATAGAGGGGCAACTGATATATCAGATCATTATTTAGTTATAGCTACAGTTAGAGTAAGAGGTAGATGGGACAAGAGGAAGGTGGCAACAAGAAGTAGGAGGGAAGTGAAAGTGTATAAACTAAGGGAGGAGGAAGTTCGGGTGAGATATAAGCGACTATTGGCAGAAAGGTGGGCTAGTGCAAAGATGAGTAGTGGGGGGTTTGAGGAGGGTTGGATGAGTATTAAAAATGCAGTATTAGAATGTGGGGCAGAAGTTTGTGGTTATAGGAGGGTGGGGGCAGGAGGAAAGAGGAGTGATTGGTGGAATGATGAAGTAAAGGGTGTGATAAAAGAGAAAAAGTTAGCTTATGAGAGGTTTTTACAAAGCAAAAGTGTTACAAGAAGAGCAGAGTATATGGAGAGTAAAAGAAAGGTAAAGAGAGTGGTGAGAGAGTGCAAAAGGAGAGCAGATGAAAGAGTGGGAGAGGCACTGTCAAGAAATTTTAATGAAAATAAGAAAAAATTTTGGAGTGAGTTAAACAAGTTAAGAAAGCCTAGGGAACATATGGATTTGTCAGTTAAAAACAGAGTAGGGGAGTTAGTAGATGGGGAGAGGGAGGTATTAGGTAGATGGCGAGAATATTTTGAGGAACTTTTAAATGTTGAGGAAGAAAGGGAGGCAGTAATTTCATGCACTGGCCAGGGAGGTATACCATCTTTTAAGAGTGAAGAAGAGTAGAATATAAGTGTGTGGGAGGTAAGTGAGGCATTACAGAGAATAAGGGGGTAAAGCAGCTGGAACTGATGGGATCATGACAGAAATGTTAAAAGCAGGGGTGGATATAGTGTTGGAGTGGTTGGTACTTTTGTTTAATAAATGTATGAAAGAGGGGAAGGTACCTAGGGATTGGCAGAGAGCATGTATAGTCCCTTTATATAAAGGGAAGGGGGACAAAAGAGATTGTAAAAATTATAGAGGAATAAGTTTATTGAGTATACCAGGAAAAGTGTATGGTAAGGTTATTATTGAAAGAATTAGAGGTAAGACAGAATATAGGATTGCAGATGAGCAAGGAGGTTTTAGAGTGGGTAGGGGATGTGTAGATCAAGTGTTTACATTGAAGCATATATGTGAACAGTATTTAGATAAAGGTAGGGAAGTTTTTATTGCATTTATGGATTTAGAAAAGGCATATGATAGAGTGGATAGAGGAGCAATGTGGCAGATGTTGCAAGTATATGGAATAGGTGGTAAGTTACTAAATGCTGTAAAGAGTTCTTATGAGGATAGTGTAGAAGAGAGGGAGACTACTTCCCGGTAAAAGTAGGTCTTAGACAGGGATGTGTAATGTCACCATGGTTGTTTAACATATTTATAGATGGGGTCGTAAAAGAAGTAAATGCTAGGGTGTTCGGGAGAGGGGTGGGATTAAATTATGGGGAATCAAATTCAAAATGGGAATTGACACAGTTACTTTTTGCTGATGATACTGTGCTTATGGGAGATTCTAAAGAAAAATTGCAAAGGTTAGTGGATGTGTTTGAGAATGTGTGTAAAGGTAGAAAGTTGAAAGTGAACATAGAAAAGAGTAAGGTGATGAGAGTATCAAATGATTTAGATAAAGAAAAATTGGATATCAAATTGGGGAGGAGGAGTATGGAAGAAGTGAATGTTTTCAGATACTTGGGAGTTGATGTGTCGGCGGATGGATTTATGAAGGATGAGATTAATCATAGAATTGATGAAGGGAAAAAGGTGAGTGGTGCATTGAGGTATATGTGGAGTCAAAAAACGTTATCTTTGGAGGCAAAGAAGGGAATGTATGAAAGTATAGTAGTACCAACACTCTTATATGGGTGTGAAGCTTGGGTTGTGAATGCAGCAGCGAGGAGGTGGTTGGAGGCAGTGGAGATGTCCTGTCTAAGGGCAATGTGTGGTGTAAATATTATGCAGAAAATTCGGAGTGTGGAAATCAGGAGAAGGTGTGGAGTTAATAAAAGTATTAGTCAGAGGGCTGAAGAGGGGTTGTTGATGTGGTTTGGTCATTTAGAGAGAATGGATCAAAGTAGAATGACATGGAGAGCATTTAAATCTGTAGGAGAAGGAAGGCGGGGTAGGGGTCGTCCTCGAAAAGGTTGGAAGGAAGGGGTGAGGGAGGTTTTGTGGGCGAGGGGCTTGGACTTCCAGCAGGTGTGCATGAGCGTGTTCGATAGGAGTGAATGGAGATGAATGGTATTTGGGACCTGATGATCTGTTGGAGTGTGAACAGGGTAATATTTAGTGAAGGGATTCAGGGAAACCGGTTATTTTTATATAGCCGGACTTGAGTCCTGGAAATGGGAAATACAATGCCTGCACTCTAAAGGAGGGGTTCGGGATATTGGCAGTTTGGAGGGATATGTTGTGTATCTTTATACGTATATGCTTCTAAACCGTTGTGTTCTGAGCACTTCTGCAAAAACAGTGATTATGTGTGAGTGAGGTGAAAGTGTTGAATGATGATGAAAGTATTTTCTTTTTGGAGATTTTCTTTCTTTTTGGGTCACCCTGCCTCTGTGGGAGACAGCCGACTTGTTGAAAAAAAAAATATGTATATATATATATATATAATTTGGGAGGAAATAAAGGAAGGATATAGCAAATGAGAGAAGGAATGGAGGAGGGTAGGAAGGAAGTTATATATACAAAGCTAACTTGCTGGAAACTTGTTTTGAAAGCTCACATAGACGGAATGTATAGACCACATTCTATATACACACACACACACACACACACACACACACACACACACACACACACACACACACACACACACACACACACACACACACACACACACACACAGTGTTTAAATAATATCGTCTTGCTTTTATCTCTTATTACAGATTTATTACGCATTTAATACCTGATTATTTTCATGTATAAAATATCTCCTCCTTCAGTAAACATATTTCCAGGGTGATTATTACTCAATTAATTTAAATACTATTCCTTCATTATTACTCTGAAATGCTCAAGGACCAAGCAGGTGGTTTGAACCCTGATAACTCCACTCGCCTCTTACATTCAATTATCATGAATTTTCAACATGTATGCAAATGTATATTTTTTGCAGCATTAAAATTCAGTGGGCTTAGAACTTTCTTGTATCATAGTGTTATGTAATGTTATTATATATGTTTTATTGTGATCTTGTGAACACTGACAGTTTCGTGTTCTATTCCTGGTGTGTTCTGTTCTGTGGCTGGCTTTCTGCCAGTGGTCCTAACTTCTTCTTGATCTCTTGCTGCAATTCCTTCCTGTCCTAATGAAGCTGGCTTCTTGCTAGTGTTCCTGGCTTCTTGCTAGCATTCCAGGCTTCTTGCTAGTGTTCCAGGCTTCTTGCTAGTGTTCCAGGCTTCTTCCAAATCTCTTCATCTCTTTTATCACCACCCTTGCTAAGCCAGACTCTTACCAATGTTCTCGGCTTTCCGATTTCTTGATCTGCTTCATTTTTTCACCCAGCAATGCTGGTGTTTTTACCGACTCTGTACTATTTACATTCAAGCAAAGACAATCTTGCTGCTAACTCTGAATCCTAATCCAGTGAAAGACTTCAATTCCTAGTGGCTCCATATTTCTGCTCCCTCGATCTAAAGTGTTCCCATCCTGGTCAACTTAGCCTCCCACATTATAATCATAACTAAGTGCTAAACCCACAGGGGTCATACAGGTGGGCCTCCCACAGACTCCATATTTCTGCTGTGTGGAACCTATGGCCTCTTGTTCAGTGACACATTCCCATCCTGGCAAAGGGGGTCGTTCTTCTTGGTCTCAGTTTCCATTTCATTTAAGCTGGGATTTCGTCCATTACCATGAACTTATCCTACTCGTCATGATATTGAGTATCCCCTCCAGTGCCTTCTCATTCTATTAAATCTATGTTCTTCCAACAGATTTGTGTTCTCACTCTAGTTAAACCAAGATATGTACCAGCTCTGTATTTTCTCCCTAATGAAACCAGGATCTCGGAAGATTTTGTGTCCAGGTTTTAATGATTCTGGGCCTCTCAGTAACTTCAAGTTCCTGTCTTAACTACACCAGGACCTCTGATCCATGTTGTGTTCCCATCGTAATGAACCCGAGCCTCTTGCAATCCTCTATAACTAGCTTAACAGAATCAGAATTATTATTTGGTTTGGGTTCCTTCCCTAAACATACTGGGACATTTTGTTGGAGTCCTAGCAAATCATGCTTTTACTGACTTCACATTCATGCCCTAATGAACCTGTTCAATTTGCATTCTTGGCATAATGAATCTGGACTTGAGCATCATCAGTTCATCATATCAAATGCTGCCTCCTCTTGCTGCTGCACTTCACCCCACCCCATCTTCCTCCTCCTTCATGACATGATATCATATGCTGTTTCCTCCAGTGTCTGAAGCCAGCTGAAGATCATCCAAATCCAGACATGAGAATCATTAGTTCATCATATCGGATGTTGCCTCCTCTTCTTCCTCCTCTTGCTGCTGTACCTCACCCCACCCCCTCTTCCTCCTCCTTCACGACATAATGTCATATGCTGTTTCCTCCAGTGTCTGGAGCCAGTTGAAGATCATCATGTTCCTCTCATACTTAGTGAGCGGACGACCCCTATCACGTTCCACATCCCTTGCAGTGAGACTAAGGTTCTTGTTGTGGGTGGCGGACGCTGCTACATGGGTGCTTGCAGGAGCTGTGACAGGCAGCTCAACTTCCTTCTTGATAATTCGGAACACATCCTGTGCTGCCTGCTGTCGTGGTGGAACCACCAGTGTCACTCCACCACTGTCGATCTGTCAAGAAATAAGGTGTTAAATGTGTCACTTGATGACAGTCCAGGATGAACCAAAACATAATAATAATATTTTTAATTCTACAAGTACATGTACCAGGTATACAGGCCTAGATAACATCAATGACATAATACTATATAAAAATCCCCTTGTTATGCAGAGCATTTCCTGCAAATTAGGTCAATTTTGTCCCAGGATGTGACCCACACCAGTCGACTAACACCCAGGTACCTATTTTACTGCTAGGTGAACAGGGACAGCAGATGTCTTCAGGAAACACGTCCTAATGTTTCCACCCATACTGGGGATCGATCCCCAGACCACAGTGTGTAAGCTGAGTGCACTACCACTCGAGCTATGGGACACCTTATTTAGTTAAACAAGCATTACATAGAGAAAAGGAAGAATTAAAAGGTACAATACTCATTTGAAACTGTGATCAGGTGTAATTTGTTCAGTTATCAAAACTTTGTGGCCCAGTCCCTGGACCCATTATGTACTTCTGTAATGTTGAGGTACAGTCCCTGGACCCATTATTTACCTCTGTAATGTTGAGGTACAGTCCCTGGACCCATTATGTACTTCTGTAATGTTGAGGTACAGTCCCTGGACCCATTATTTACCTCTGTAATGTTGAGGTACAGTCCCTAGATCCATTATGTACTTCTGTAATGTTGAGGTACAGTCCCTGGACCCATTATTTACCTCTGTAATGTTGAGGTACAGTCCCTAGATCCATTATGTACTTCTGTAATGTTGAGGTACAGTCCCTGGACCCATTATTTACCTCTGTAATGTTGAGGTACAGTCCCTGGACCCATTATTTACCTCTGTAATGTTGAGGTACAGTCCCTGGACCCATTATTTACCTCTGTAATGTTGAGGTACAGTCCCTGGACCCATTATTTACCTCTGTAATGTTGAGGTACAGTCCCTAGATCCATTATGTACTTCTGTAATGTTGAGGTACAGTCCCTGGACCCATTATTTACCTCTGTAATGTTGAGGTACAGTCCCTGGACCCATTATTTACCTCTGTAATGTTGAGGTACAGTCCCCGGACCCATTATTTACCTCTGTAATGTTGAAGTACAGTCCCTGGACCCATTATTTACCTCTGTAATGTTGAGGTATAGTCCCCGGACCCATTATTTACCTCTGTAATGTTGAGGTACAGTCCCTAGATCCATTATTTACCTCTGTAATGTTGAGGTACAGTCCCTGGACCCATTATTTACCTCTGTAATGTTGAGGTACAGTCCCTAGATCCATTATGTACTTCTGTAATCTCTTTGACTACTACCCAGAGGATTGGTATGGGGCTCATAGTAAAGATATTAAAGTTAACAACGTAATGAAAAGTGTCAAGTTAAGCATGTCAGTGGATACAGTAAATAGCCATGATAATTTCTCACATTATCAAGGAATTGTTCCTTGATAATTTGAGAAAATCGTTACAAAGTCAGATTACTGCTAGGCAGAAATTAGGCTATAAGTATCTCTGGCAGTATGGTTTGTATACAAGTCAATGACATGAAATGTAACGTGTGTGGAAGGACAGAGAACATTCTGATGTCAGAACATTCATCTTTCAGAGACACCTCCAGTGCAATCCCTACATTACTGTTATAATCATAACTAAGTGCTAAATCCACAAGGGTCATACAGCACTGATGCAATCCCTACGGAATATGGCAAACCACATTATGTTAATGGTGGAATGAGAAGAGCACAGTTCTTGTATCTGACATACATCATGCATAGCCACATTCCTGCATGTCATTTTAGCCAGCCAAAAGGGCAATTGGTTATTGCCACTTTGTAACATGCTGGTACAAGGTGGCCCAGTAGGTGCTAGGGCTTTCCTGATAGTTTGAGAGCAAGGCTGGAATGCCTGGGTGAAGTTACCTCACAAGGAGGGATAGCCCAGACAAGTCATATCCTCACCAGCCTCATGATGGTTCTCAACACACTAGATCTTTCTGTATGGGTGTGCTGTAACTCTCAAAGCTCCAGCTGTGGGTCATCATATGAATAAGACCCACATCAGGAAACACTTGTCCTGTTTCCTCATGAACCTTACCTAACCTGTGAGAGTGATCTCAATCCTCAGAAACTGGAAATGAATACTGGCTGATGGTGTGGTCCTTCTCAGAGCATTATCAAGTGCTAAATGATATAAACTGAAAAGATAGCCTAAGCACCACGGATCCCAATCTATGTCTAGAACAGATTAACTCTGTGGCACTGGAGGTATGCTCAATGCATATTCCTTAAAGAAAAAGGCAAAGGCAAAGAATAACAGAGTGGCTAAAAAAGGCCAATATATCTACAATACGTAGGGAGACAGACACTAGTCAGAGAAATAGCAAATATCAAACTAAAGCTAAAGGAATCTTATAGGTGTCAAGAAATGCAGAAAGAACTAAAAGCCATAAATGAAATAGATAGAAACCCAAAGTATTTTTTTTCTTATGCTAAATCCAAGTCGAGAACAACATCCAGTACTGGGCCCATACTTAAACGAGATGGGTCTTAAACAGAGGGCAGCAAGGAAATGAGTGAGCTACTCAAGTCCCAATATGACTCAGTTTTTAGCGAGTAGCTAACCAGACTGAGAGTCGAAGACCTAAGTGAATTTTTTTATGAGTGCCACAGAATTTGGTAGACACAAATCTATCTGACATTATCCTGACGCCAAATGACTTCGAAAAGGTGATAAATGACATGCCCATGCACTCTGCCCCAGGCCCAGACAATTGGAACTCTGTGTTCATCAAGAATTGCAAGATGCCCTTATCACATGTCCTTAACATTCTATGAAGAGGGAGCATGGACACAGGGGTCGTCCCACAGCTGCTAAAAACAACAGACATAGCCCCACTCCACAAAGGGGGCAGTAAAGCAATAGCAACGAACTACAGACTGATAATGCTAATGTCCCATATCATAAAAATCTTTGAAAGGGTTCTAAGAAGCAAGATCGCCACACATCTAGATACCCATCAGTTACACAACCTAGGGCAGCATGGGTTTAGAGCAGGTCGCTCCTGTCTGTCCCAACTACTGGACCACTATGACAAGGTCATGGATGCTCTAGAAGACAAACAAAATGTAGATGTAATATACACAGACTTTTCAAAAGCCTTTGACAAGTGTGACCATGGCATAATAGCACACAACATATGCAATGAAGGAATAACAGAAAAAGTTGGTAGATGGATCTATAATTTCCTAACAGATAGAACACAAAGAGTAGTAGTAAACAGAGCAAAGTCTGAGGCGGGTACCACGAAAAACTCCATTCCACAAGGCACAGTACTCACTCCCATCTTGTTCCTCATCCTCATATCTGACAGACAGGGATATTAGCCACAGCGCTGTGTCTTCTTTTGCAGATGACACCCGAATTTGCATGACAGTGTTCTCCATTGAAGACACCGCAAGACTCCAGGTGGACATCAACCAGATATTTAAATGGGCTGCAGAAAACAATATGAAATTCAATGATGAGAAATTTCAATTGTGCGCCAATGTCTACCTGGAGAGAGAGTTCCGGGGGTCAACACCCTCGCAGCCCGGTCTGTGACCAGGCCTCCTGGTGGATCAGAGCCTGATCAACCAGGCTGTTACTGCTGGCTGCACGCAATCCAACGTACGAGCCACAGCCCGGCTGGTCAGGTACCGACTTTAGGTGCTTGTCCAGTGCCTGCTTGAAGACAGCCAGGGGTCTATTGGTAATCCCCCTTATGTATGCTGGGAGGCAGTTGAACAGTCTCGGGCCCCTGACACTTATTGTATTGTCTCTTAACGTGCTAGTGACACCCCTGCTTTTCATTGGGGGGATGTTGCATCGTCTGCCAAGTCTTTTGCTTTCATTGTGAGTGATTTTTGTGTGCAAGTTCGGTACTAGTCCCTCTAGGATTTTCCAGGTGTATATAATCATGTATCTCTCCCGCCTGCATTCCAGGGAGTACAGGTTCAGGAACTTCAAGCGCTCCCAGTAATTGAGGTGTTTTATCTCCGTTATGCACGCATATGGAAAACGTGAGGAAATTAAAACTACATCGGAGTATAAAACAAATTCCAACCACACAATAGAGCGAAAAACTAATGTAAAAGACCTGGGAGTGATCAAGTCGGAATATCTCACCCTCAAAGACCATAATACTGTATTAATCACAACTGCTAGAAAAATAACAGGTTGGATAATGAGAACCTTCAAAACTAGGGATGCCAAGCCCATGATGACGCTCTTCGGGTTCGCTTGTTCTATCTAGGCGGAATATTCTGCAAAACAAGGGAAACCTTTCAAGGCGGGGTAAAAATTTGCTGACCTAGAAAATGTACAGAAAACCCCTTACAGCACACATAATGAGAAAAAACCCACCTAAATTTACTTGGAACGCTTGAATTTTCAAAAACCCGAAACTCCATAGAATGCAGGCGGGAGAGATACTGATCATATACACGGGAAAAATCCTAGGTTTTAGCCCCTAACTAGAACATAAAAAACCTCCCTTTTGGAAAAAAAACCAAGACTCGGCAGATGATAAACCCCAACCCCCCAAAAATGAAAAGCGGGGGGTGCCACTAGCACAATAAGAGACAACCAATAAGTGTCGGGTCCCAAAATTTGTTCAAGTCCCTCCCGGCATACAAAGGGGTTACATCAGACCCCCGGCCTGGCTTCTAGCAGGCACTGGACAAGCGCCTAAAGTCAGTACCGGGCTGTGGTTTGTATGTCGGTTTGTGTGCGGCCAACAGTAACAGCCTGGTTGATCAGGCCCTGATCCACCATGGGCCCCCGGCCCCCCAGGGGGACGGGCCCCTGGAACCCTTCCCGGTAAACAAAACCCTTTTTTTTCCCTTTTTTCTCAATCTTGACTTGATAATTAAGGCTCAGCACTAACAGACAGCCTTCATTGTTTCTTTTGACTTTGTGGGCTTGTTGTGAAGAGTGTCTTCACTCAGTTCATTATTCATTGCCACTGGTCCATAATCATTGTGCATAGTCTGAATAATTCTATATATGTCCTAGTGGTGGGAATATATGTTAAACTGTCCTCTGGTATATACAGTGGGGGACTTACATTTTTGGAGCCCTGAAGCTTGAACTGTTATGGGGGACCCATTCACAACTCCTCATACAGTAGACCCAAAATTTTCAAGCAATGTGGAGTAAAGTCGCTTCTGGGTCCCCTTGGGATTAGTGGCCCTGAAGCTCAGACTTCATTAGTGTCATAGTAGACCTGCCTCTGTGTATATACATCATTGTTGACTACTCAATTGACTGCCAATTAACCCTTTGACTGTCTCTGTCGTATATATACGTCATGGGAGATACCGTGTTTGACATATCTATACGCATAAATTCTAGCGGTTTCAAATCAAGCGGGAGAGGGCTGGTAGGCCTACACGAGAGAGAATGGGTCTCAGTGGTCGGTGTGCACCCTGTGAAAAAAATCTGGGACTCAGCGGTGCATTGTGGGAACGCCATCTTGGTAGTCCATTTTCACCATGCCTTGTGGTAAGAAGTTCCTCACTCCTCGGCGGATTGGAGGTCTTTTGTTCCCAAGTGATAGCTCAAACAGTGATGATAGTGTCAGTGAAAGTGAATTCCCTGGTTTTGAAGCGGGTGTGACCGAAAAAATTACCCAGGATAACATAATTAGTGATGAAAACCCAGATGACCCACAACCTTCCACCTCTGGTGCTGGGCCGGCTCGTTCATGTTCACCTGTACCAGGACGAAAGAAGAAACTATTTGCCCGTGTACAAGACTCAGATGTGAGCAGTGCAAGTGATAGTGATAGTGATTTCAAGGTTATTAAAAGCAGTTCTAGTTGTGACAGTGAGGGTGAATATTCCCCAGTGAAGCGGCAGTATATACGACGTCGCATGCGGTCTGGTAGTGTGCCATATGCTCTTCCAAGAGGAAGGAGTACATCTCGGAGCACATCCCGTGGCCCTACACCACGTCCTGATAGTGGAGATGACGATATTGTTACGATGGGTATCAATGATGCAAGTGAGGCAGCAGGCGGTGGTGGTGATAGTGATGGTGGCATGAGTCATGTGACACCAGCAGCAGGCCACACTACTACCCGTGCTGCTGACTTTGCACAACTACAACCAGCCTCACCCGACCCCACACTCCCACAACCACAACCACAACCTGCACAACCACAACCACATTACAATATCCAGAACGCACCAGCTGACCGTATCTGGGATTGGCAGCAAGATGACGAGTTTGTTCCCAATCCCCATGACTTTGATGGAGGACAAAGTGGAATACGGCCATCATGTACACTTAGGAACAATCCCACTGAACTGGAATGCTTTCAGTTGTTCTTCGATGAACCCCTGATGGACATTATTGTCAGGGAAAGCAATACATACTATGAGTACACCATGGCAAACACTATTCTGTCACCAAGATCATGCCTACACCAGTGGAAGGACACAACTGTGGCAGAGATGTATCTGTTCTTTGCTACAATAATGCTTATGCCACATGTGTATAAGCATAGTGTCAACACATACTGGGCGACAGACCGCCTGATTTCAACCCCTGCTTTCAGTGACATTATACCAGTGAATAGATTTGTGTTACTGTTACGTATGTTACACTTTTCAGACAAAACCAGGCCTGACAGAAGCGACAGGTTATATAAGATCAGACGTGTGTTTATGTACCTGAAACAAAAGTGCTGTATGTATTTTTATCCCTTCAGGAAGCTTGTTATTGACGAGTCTTTGATTTGTTCAAAGGAAGACTCTCATTCAAGCAGTATATACCAAGCAAGAGGAAATGCTTTGGTATAAAGTTATTTGTTCTGTGTGATTGCAAAACTGGTCTGGTTTTGGATATAATTGTGTACAGTGGCGGTAAAACAATGGAAGATACCAGAAAGTTACTGGGTATCTCTGGTGATGTGGTTAGAACAATGATGGAGCCATATCTTGGTAAGGGGCATATTTTATATACGTACTGACAACTGGTACACAAGCCCTATACTCAGTGATTTCTTGCGAGTGAACATGACAGATGTGTGTGGCACAGTGCGTAGAAATCGTAAACATATGCCTAGGTTCAATGCTGGCAGTCGTAGAGGTGAAGTGCAGGTGTTTGCTGCCAATGACATCATGGCATTTCGGTGGCATGACAAACGTGATGTCACACTGCTGACATCAGTTCACCGACACGAAATGGTAGACACTGGCAAGCAGAATAGAGAGACCAATGAACCCATTGTAAAACCTGCAGCTGTGATGGATTACAACCTCAATATGCGCTTAGTGGACAAATGTGACATGCAGATTGGGTTTGCTGACTGTGTTCGCAAGAGTTGTAAGTGGTACATAAAACTGCTTTTCCATCTTCTTGACATTTCCATGCTGAATGCTTATAATATGTATAAGTTGAAGACCAAGAAGAAACCCAAATATGGTGAATTTTGTTTGTCAGTCATCAGACAAATAATATTCAAGTACCAAGGAACAACACCTGCAATAGACCAGTGCCCACGAAATTATCAACACATGTCCTCTCGTCTGAGGCCTGGTGATCACTACCCCATACCACTGCCTGCTACTACTGCCAAGAAAAATGCTCAGAAGAGGTGTTTTGTCTGTGGACATACCACAAAACGCCCACAAAAATGCAGAGACACTCGTTTTATGTGTGAGGAGTGTAAGACACTATTGTGCTTATACCCATGTTTCAAAGAATTCCACAAGCTGCAGCACTTCTAGAAAAGTGTCCAGTGATTGTACATATGTATATATATTATAAAACAATCGTAATAAACATTTGTTTACATTGTTTGTTTGTGTAAACAAGTTTTAGCAACATTATAATGATACGAGAGTTTTTGCTATAATTGTGTTACATTCAACGAGTGTATATTTGAACATTGCACAATAATTTGGCCTCACAGCCACAAAAGTTATGTGAAAAAATAAAATAGTGAAAAAACAAGAAACCATCGAATACAAGTAAATCAAAGTTTACCGGGTGAGTGGCAGTCGCCGCTGTTGCCGCTCGCAGATCAATTTCAGCAAACTTCAGGACCCTGTATCTCGGTAAGTACTGATGGGAATTTTTTTTTTTTTGGGGGGACTAAAACAATCAGAAAAATAATCTTAACATTTTCATAAGAAAAAATAATTTTTTTTTTTCGAATATTTTGCGACACCAGGAGACACTTCAGGATTGGGCCTTTCGACAGTCAAAGGGTTAAACCAAGATTCCTTCACTGTCAAGACTTTAGCAGCGATGCCTGTGTTTGGAATGTGAGTTCAGAACAGAAGAATGGAGAAACACTGCAGAAGGCCTACTGGCCCATACAAGGCAGGTCCTTGTCAAAACCACCCCTTCCCAAAGCTACCCAAGAATTTACTCCTGTACCAATGACACTAATCAAATCCAGCCCCTCCCACTCATATATTTGTCCAATCTCTTCTTAAAGCTACCCAAGGCCCTAGCCTAGATGCCTGTTCCACGCATCGAACACTGTTGTTGCTGGCAACAACAGTGTGGTTGATAAGTGGGGTCTTGCTACTCCCAGGCATACCTTGACCCCTGCAGTGGCTGCTCCTCCAGCATCAAGGTCAACCTCAGACTGTGAGAACCGTTGTAGAGCCTTGTAAGTAGTCACCAATCTCCGCTTCAGGTAGTTCTGACGAACCTACAAAAATAGAACGGCTTATCATTACTGTCTGGAGGACAAGAAGGAGTATGGACACAGTGTCATACACCAGTGTATAACACTATATCTTACGATCTAACATAAAACCTCACACAATATCTCAAATCATATCAGACATCAGAAATCTAAGTTGCAACTTGACTGCAACAACTACATCAATATGTCTGTAGAAAGATTGCAACCAGTTATGACCAATGGTATATACTATTGATATGTATATTTCTTCCTTGAGGTTGTATTCCATACTGAATTGTATACATGCAGTGTGCAAAGTACTTGTTAGTGGCCTTACAAAGACCCTTTGTGTGCTCTGTAATCCTGTATTTTGAGCTAAAGCTTAGAGGATTAGTTGAAGGATGGGTGGGGCTGTTACAGTACTGGAGGTGGGAAGTACAGTGACTACACTCTGAAGGATGAGTGAGGATGTTACAATACTGGAGGTAGGAGGTACAGTACCTGAACTCTGAAAGATGAGTGAAGATGTTATAGTTCTGGTAGTGATGTGTGATTATACAGTGGACCCTCAAGTTTCGGCAGCATCAACTTTCGTGAAATCCGACTTTCGGCAAGTTTTTCGGCAAAATTTGGCCTCGAGTTTCGTGATTAGACTCATGATTCGGTGACCATCCGGTACCCGTCTGCCCATCACCACGCACACAAAGCCAGTCTCCCATGCCATTCACGCTCAATGTGCCATTGTTTACCATCACGTGACCATCACCCCGCGGGTTCATACGTAATAATCCATTGTTTTTTGTGATTGCAACTGCTAAATAAGTCACCATGGGCCCAAGGAAAGCTAGTAAAAGCCCTTTGGTAAAGAAAGCGAAGAACACGATCTAGAGGGATTTTGAAGGGTTTGAGGCAGACCCTGACCCTGCCGACCCTCTGCCTGTTGTGGAAGGTGTTGTGGCATTGGGCAAGTCCATGGGGTTCGAGGTGAGTGACGGGGATGTGGAAGAGTTGGTGGAGGACCACAGGGAAGAGCTAACCACTGGCGAACTGCAAGAGCTTCAACTGGAACAGCATCAGACCACAGCTGAGGAACTTGCTTCAGAGGAGGAGGAAAAGAGAGTGAAGGAGGTGCCTTCTTCAGTGATTAAGGACATGTGTTCAAAGTAGAATGAGTTGCAAAGTTTTGTTAGAAAGTATCACCCTGACCAAGCTGAAACAAGCCATATATATATATATATATATATATATATATATATATATATATATATATATATATATATATATATATATATATAAGGAGGGGTGTTAATGTTGCAGTTTAAAAACTGTAGTGTAAAGCACCCTTCTGGCAAGACAGTGATGGAGTGAATGATGGTGAAAGTTTTTCTTTTTCGGGCCACCCTGCCTTGGTGGGAATAGGCCAGTGTGATAATAAAAAAAATGATAATAAAAAAAAATATATATATAATTATATATATAATATATATATATATATATATATATATATATATATATATATAATATATATATATATATATATATATATATATATATATTTGCAAAACAACCACTCTGAAAGAATAGAGAAATTCCAAGCGCTTTCGTGACTACTCACATTATCAAGGAACTATGAAAGTGAAGCATCCAAGGAAGCTATATAAGGGGTCCGGCCAGCACCTCACTATCAGATCCCACAACGGTTAAACACGTGACGCGCGGCGAGCCAACTTGGATAGGTCCTTTGCACAACTCACCCCAAGCTATTCTACCCAAGAAAATTTAAAAATTATTTGTCCAGTGTATTATTAAATTCTTCCCAAATTCTTGAGAAAGTAGTATCAAGCAAGTCCATGGTCGACAGGAATATAATTGAATCTTGTTTCATAAAAAGCAGTTTTGACAATAATATGAATATTTCCTTTGGTTTATATAAATTAGATCCATTTATAATTAATAGAATTTGGGAAGAATTTAATAATACACTGGACAAATAATTTTTAAATTTTCTTGGGTAGAATAGCTTGGGGGTGAGTTGTGCAAAGGACCTATCCAAGTTGGCTCGCCGCGCATCACGTGTTTAACCGTTGTGGGATCTGATAGTGAGGTGCTGGCCGGACCCCTTATATAGCTTCCTTGGATGCTTCACTTTCATAGTTCCTTGATAATGTGAGTAGTCATGAAAGCGCTTGGAATTTCTCTATTCTTTCAGAGTGGTTGTTTTGCATATTTTGAAATCACCTGTTCACTGTGATCTTATTGCATATATTCTTTCTTTCTTTCAACACACCGGCCGTATCCCACCGAGGCGGGGTGGCCCAAAAGGAAAAACGAAAGTTTCTCCTTTTACATTTAGTAATATATACAGGAGAAGAGGTTACTAGCCCCTTGCTCCCGGCATTTTAGTCGCCTCTTACAACACGCATGGCTTACGGAGGAAGAATTCTGTTCCACTTCCCCATGGAGGTAAGAGGAAATAAACAAGAACAAGAACTAGAAAGAAAATAGAAGAAAACCCAAAGGGGTGTGTATATATATGCTTGTACATGTATGTGTAGTGTGACCTAAGTGTAAGTAGAAGTAGCAAGACATACCTGAAATCTTGCATGTGTATGAGACAGATAAAAAAAAAGACACCAGCAATCTTACCATCGTGTAAAACAATTACAGGCTTCAGTTTTACACTCACTTGGCAGGACGGTAGTACCTCCCTGGGCGGTTGCTGTCTACCAACCTACTACCTAGAATTGCATATACAGTGGACCCCCGCATAACGATGGCATCACATAGCGATTTTTCCGCATACCGATTACTTTTATCGCAAAATTTTTGCCGCGCATACCGATTAAAAACCCGCTTACCGATTTTCGTCCGAGACGCGTCCAATGTGCCCTCAGCCAGCCTCACATGTGCCGGCCGTCCCATTGTTTACCAGCCAGCCTCCGCGGTAACATCCAAGCATACACTCGGAATATTTCGTATTATTACAGTGTTTTCGGTGCTGTTTCTGGAAAATAAGTGACCATGGGCCCCAAGAAAGCTTTCTAGTGCCAACCCTGTGGTAAAAAGGGTGAGAATAGTATGGAAATTAAGAAAGATTTTGAAGGGTTTGGGGCTAACCCTGAGAAGCCTATGCCAGTTTGTGGAATCCATTGTGCCTACTTCAAAGATTAAGGAAATGTGTGCACAGTGGGTTGAACTGCAAACCTTTATAGATGAAAATCACCCTGACACAGCTGTTGCAAGCCGTGCTGGTGACTATTTCAATGACAATGTTGTGGCCCATTTTAGACAAATCGTAAAAGAACGGGAGGTACAGAGCTCTATGGACAGATTTGTTGTGCGACAGAGTCCAGTGACTCTCAAGCTGGTCCTAGTGGATTAAAAGAAGAAGTGGAAGTAACCCCCGGAAAAGACTTGCTACCTCAAGTCGTATGGAAGGGGATTCCCTTCTAAACAGTAAGAATACTAATCTCTCCTCTCGCCCCTCCCCTCCCATCAATCATCACCAGATCTTCAGATAAAAGAAAGTTCATGTAATTGTAGCATGCCTTTTCAGTTTGTGATATTAAAAATTAACATTTCATGTGTAAAAAAAATTTTTTTCATACTTTTGGGCGTCTTGCACGGATTAATTTGTATTCCATCCATTATTTCTTATGTAAAATTCATTCGCATACATTATTTCGCATAACGATGATCCCCTCTTGCACGGATTAAAATCGTTAAGCCGGGGTCCCTGTAAAATAATATATATATAATATATATATAAATATTATAAATAGTATATATAATATATATATATATATATATATATATATATATATATATAATAATTATATATATACCTATATATATATACATATATATATATACATATATATAATTATATATATATATATCCATATATATATAATATATATAAATACATATATATATATAACATATATATAAATATATATATATATAAAAATATAATATATATATATATATTATATATAATAAATACATACATATATATATATATATATATATATATATATATATACAGACATAAATATATCATTTAAATACATATATATATATATACATACATAAATATAATATAAAATATCATATATAATATATATATATATTATTCATATATATATATACATATATATATATATATATATATTATACGAGATAATATATATATACATTATATTATATATATATATTTATATACATATATATATATATACATAATATATACCATATATTCTATATATATAATACATCTATATACATATATATATACATACATATATACATAATATATACCAAACATATATACATACATATATACATATATATATACATACATATATACATATATATATACAATACATATATACATATATATATCCACATACATATATACATACATATAATACATATATATTATACAAGACATATACACATATATATATATATATATATATATATATATATATATATTATATATATAACTATATATATATATATATATATATATTGTAACGGAGCTAACAGATGTCCCTCTTAACATATATGTTAAACGGATCACCTATCACAAAGCTAACAGAGGAAAATTCTTAGGAATCCACCTGATAATAGCCCTCAAATTTCATACACATAATACAAACAAATTTCTAAGAAAATTTCCAAGACTGTAGCATACTATCGAAGAAACGGTACTATGCTCCACAGTCAGCCTCCGGCCTATATCACTCCTCTTATTTACCTCCTATCTCACCTATGGAATTTGTGCATGGGCACAACACCAAGTAACCATCTCAGACCACTAATTTTCCCAACAAAAGGCTGCCAGTTAGATGATAACAAATTCTCACTACAGCAGCACACTCCAGCCAAATATTCAATACACTAAACCTCCTCACCATACAAAACATCCAAACTATACTACTTGCAACCTATTCCATACATAGAACACTTAACTCTGAATTAACCCTCCCCATCAAACATCTCCTTGCTCAACCTCAACA